TACTGGCTGTCGAATATAACTGGACAAAATTTGAGAAATTCTGTCGATTATCAATATATTTGACAGTAAATTTCTGTCGATTAAACTTATTTAATCGACAGAAAAATTGGCTGTCGAATATACTGATTATCGACTGCAGTATATTCGACAAAAAAAGTTGTCGAATATGTCTGTCGATTATAGTTTAATCGACAGAAAATCACTCATATTCGATAGAATCCGCTGTCGAATATACTGCTTTTTCCAGTAGTGTTTTTTTTGAACAATAATAATTGTGTTTCTATAGATCTTTGTAATCTTTTCTATAATGGTGTCTAAGGAAAAGTATGAACAGTAAAATAAATAGGAGATACTATCTACTTTGGATGTAGCTTAGTAATTGAAACCTTGGTCATTGAAGCCAAGGCAAGGCCATTGAATGAGATGGAATAAACTAATACCGAATAAAAGGACATGAATCAAATTATACACTTGAATTAGCAATTGGAAGTAGTTTTGCTTAAAAAAAAGAAGCTAGTATCAAATTATAGAAGAAAGAAATGATATCAAATACCAATACATCTAATAAGCGAATTCTAACAATATTATTCGAAACTGGGTTGATAATTCGAATTTAATTGTGCAATTGTGCATTTCTTTTTTTTTTTAACAAAACAAAATTGGTTCATTTCAAACACCGCCATACGGCATCTACAGGAAAATAAACAGTAAAATTACAACAGGAGCAAGAAACTAGAGTAGACCCATTTCCAGAGGCAGAAGGGAGGTGCACATGACACTCGAACAACCACTAAGGGTGCAGCTATACAGCGGCTTTCGGTCGAGCGATCCAAAACGGGACACCCTTCAATCTACCAATGTGGAAGGTGCGCCAGGCTTCAGGATGCCGATGCGGAGACCCGATCAGGCGGAGGCCGATCCCTGGAGGCAACAGGTGGGTCGCGAGGTTGCTAGATCTGGGATCCCCCGTGTTCACCGCCATCGCTAGAAGCTGCCGGATGGAGGGGACCACCGTCGAATCTGCAAGCCAACCAAAAAACAACGAGCCCTTAACAAGATCTGCAGGATAGGGCCGAGGGTCGCCAAATCTGAAAAAAAAACTATACAAGAACACAAAGAAACAACAAAACAACAAGAAAAAACAAGAAAACCAAAGGGGTCACCAAAGGGGACCCAAAAGCCAACAGACCCGGAAGGGTCGTCGGAGGAGGGAGCACATGGCGGCTCCAACATGCTTGAACAGCCGAGAAGCTTGGCGGCTCAAGCATCAAAACCCCAGAAGCTCAAAGGCTTCCGAGCAAAAAAAACGCAACGCCGGAGAAGGGAGGCAGAAGCAAGAGAGAAGGGAGAGAAAAGGGGAAAGAGAGAGATAAGGACTTGTGCAATTGTGCATTTCTTAAAAGGATAATAACTAATAGGGATTTTCTATTTATGATGGTATCTAACACTAATTACAAGAGTATCATTATGGGTTAATTCATTATTTTAATTAAAGGTTTTTTAATTTTTGATAAGACTAAAATATCCTCATTTATTTCTCTCCACTTCAGGTTCCCATTTTTTCAGCCTTCCGTCTCGGTCTACTATCCTTCTCTCTTGAGTTCCCAAATTTTTTCTCTCTCCTGCTCCCAATCTAACCCAATTGAAAACCCACTGTTACAGTAAGAGATCCTAATCAATTTAGTTGCAAAAATTGAAGAACATGGTGTGTTAGTGGAGAAGGCCCATCAAGAATATAACATGGCGGTAAAGGATGTATCGGAGTTTAAGTGCCAGAGATGGGCTAGCAAAGAAAACAACGAAAGATTGAAGGATTCAAGATGCAAGGTTGCCTTTTCCAAGTCAATCAAGTTGCTAATTGAGTTGATGATTCAAATTAAACTCACCATAACTAAGAATTGGGGAAAAAGGGCAACACTTGCTTGGCGGATCCATCGGTTTGGCAATGAACACCTTTTCACAGTGAAATTAAAGGTATTTTCTATTTTTTTACCATTTTCTTGTGTTGTCTTTGGCTAATTTGAGATGTTAGAAACAATAAAGAATGTGAGAAGAAACAGTTGAGAAAATTGAAGAATTTCAGGGGAATAGGAAAGGTTGTCATCGATTGTTTTTGGGGAAGGAAACTAATAGTGGGTGGCAATTGCCATCTTTCCCTCCATAATTTTCTTGGTATATCAAGCTTTCCCTCCATAATAAGTTCACCTAATCTCTACTACGGGAAGTTGGAAGGAAATCATATGAATTGATTGAACTTCATTTTCGCTTTTTTCTTTGTTTGTTTTCTATTGAATATGACAAGGAAAATTTCTATTTCAGTTACACTTGTAACTTAAAATTATTATTTTGATTGAGTTGTTTTGTCTACTTTTAGTCTTAGTGTTTCTTTTTTTTAATTTTTTATTGGATATATCTAGTATTCAAGTGTTCATCATGGCTGAAAAATCTATTGAAGGTGGATTTGTTGTTCAAAGAATTGACTTCGACTTCAACTTGAACGACCCTCCTGATGAAGAAGAAAACTATGAAAATTTTGAAAATGAAAATGATTTTGGTTCATTAGAAAGCATCTTTAAACCTTTTGTTGGTCAATGTTTTATGAGTGAAGAAGAGGCATTTATCTTTTACAGGAAGTATGCAGAAAGAAGTGGTTTTGCCATTCGAAAGGGGAGATTCATCAGTAAACAAGGGGAAAAGAAGAGACATGACTTCTTTTGTCATCGTGAAGGTAAACCGGATTTAAAAATTGTTGGTCCATCTAAAGAACAACGGGATAGGAAGTCACTTAGGTGTGAATGCAAGGCTCACATGAGGATTAAATTGAAAAAATCATTTGATATTTTCCTTGAGGAATGGCAAGTTACTAAATTTGTTGAGGAGCACAATCACAGTTTGTTGGTTCCTGATCAAGTCAGATATCTTGCGCCTCATCGCACAATTACGAACGAAGATGAGACACGGATTTTGTTGTTGAAAGAAGGAGGCCTTACCGTTAAACAAATAATG